TAAATAACATACAATTATATACAGTTTATTAGCAAGAGCGAGATAGAATCTAATTTGAAAATTATATAAAATAAAAATTTTTAAGTTAATTTATTAAATGTTATGAAGTAACATTTTTAGTCATGTCCGATTATATCTTGGTCAATAAAATAATATAATTTTTTAATATACATAATCCATTATTGAAATAAGATTTTAGATATTTAAATTTTTACATGCTAAATTATAAAAATTAATTACGCTATTGAGGTCATAGTGTTTAATTTACCAAATTAATAATAATCATTATATATATATATATATAAATCTATACATACACACACATAAGAACACACAAATTAATACTTTCTTTATAATTATATAAGAAAACACATAGCTTCTAATTATTTTTAAATAGTGTGATTAAGTGATAATTTTTTACTTACTCGCTACTAATATAGCAATTCATTTTATTTGATATAATAAAAACACAATCTGTTCACATAAAGAGTGTAAAATTACTAAAATATTTTTTCTTCTCAAACTATTTAATATTTAGAACGTACTTTTTTCTATCTCATATTATAAAATTTCTATCTCATATTCCAACGTAGTAATCATTACTTAGCATAATTTTATTATTTAGTTCCAAGACAATCCATTAAATTTCAAAATTAAATGCAAAGTTCTATCAATCTAAAAAAATTAAAAAATGTAAATCTTAGTGCGTTTTTTGTTTAACAACATTAAATTAATGCTTCTTTTATATTTTATTATATATAAACTAAGTATATTACAATAAAATATATTTATACGAATTTTCAATTTAAAGTCAATGCATCGTTCATGTGTGATTAAAATTTCATTCTATGAAGAAGTATTTGATTTGAATAACTTATAGAAAATATAAAAATAAATACATAATCATTTAGTAAAGGAAATAAGATACATAGTTTACATATATTTATATTTCAAGCTCCAAAAAATTTTATTACTCTCTTTATATACATAAAAATAATTTTTTTTTTATTAATGTATATCCAATACTCTCAATGACTAATTCAATACACTAATATGAAATATACTAAAAATTATAAGTGTTGTTATCAATAATTAATGTAGATTCCAAAAACCAACTGCTTATCCATTCATTACATTCTGTGTCTTTTAAAATACGATGATCTGAATATAATATCATTAACGTATATTCTTAGTCAGTTATTATTATCTAGTAGGATTTGTTTAATGTTTCTCTTGAATTTTTTATTTTCAATGTTTATCGTGAGTTGAATGAACTTAGATGTATATAATTGCAACTACTTTTGTCTAACTGCTTTGATTTAGTGTCAATTTTCTTTATTTTCGGATAATAAATAGAAAGTCAAATAACTAAAGTTTTAAATAATTAAAACAAATAAATAAAACAATATACCTAATTAAAATAAGTACTTTTATAACTTTTATTTGTATTAGTTATAATAGATCTTTAATGAATAATTAATATTAAGACGAGTTGATATGTTTTTCACAAAAAAATTGTAGTATATAAAAAGAAATTTTATAGACATGACAGAGCTTTTTGCAATATTAAATTTAACGACCTATAGCAATTGCAATTGCTTTCTTTAAATTTTATTTCGAATATTAAATGAATGTACATGTCAATACTATATCAAAAGATTAAATGTTATATTGTATGACCATTTGTTAGTGTTAGTTTCTCATAAATTAAAATCTTATTAATATTAGTATTTCTTATACCATCATATTTCATTAAAAACTTTATTTATATAAAATTTTCATTTATCATACTTTATTATAATATTTATTTACAATATTTAATCTATTGGAATTAAATATATTGATTATATTGACCAATTTGTAACATCGTTGCACGAATTAGCTTTTATAATTAATTATTTATTTTATAATTTCATATAATTGATTAACTAATTAATATAGTTTACAATTGTATATAAAAAAATGCATTTATATACTATTAATCTGAAACAATTATTTAAAAATAATTTTATTACATAACTGCGTGATCGTTTTCTCATAGTATTTTTAGTCATCGCAACTCTCAAGTGAACTTAAATAGTAATTTACATAAATGTAAAAATACTTGTAATACTTTGTACTATTGATATATTTTAAAAAGATATACCTGTTTTTTTGGGTTGCATCATTAGATATATTATTTTACGATATGAAGTCTCCTAAGAACATTCAATTCCTTTCTAAAGATATTTGTAAGAGTCTCTATGTAAATTTTTTACTAAAGAAGAAAAAGCGTATTTGTGATGAATTTAATCCATTTTTTTTTTGTTTAACCCTGTTTATTCTTCAAACTTCTAATTATAAGTATTATTATCTGAAAACTTGTAATAATAATAAGTTAGTTCTATGCAAAGATTTGTTTTGTGAATGTTACCGTTCTTTTTTGCCATCGATTTATATATTGAACATACTAATTCAAAGAGTAAAAAATCAGACATTAATTTTGTCGTAAATTAAAATCATAAATGTAATACTAGTTTATTTTAAAGTATTATTTAACTAATCCATCTTATCTTTGTTAGTATTTCAATATTAGTGTAATAATTTTCTACGTAGCATGTCTTAATATTTAGAAATATATATATTTTACTAATAAAAATGTATTATTTATTAATTCAACTTCTTAAATCAATAAAACTTGAGACATTCAAATTAAAACTTTTGAATTTAATAGTTTTTCATTCTATTACTTAAATTAAAGAAAATGTTAATAGTATCTGTGAAAATATGTTTTTAATTTTGTATATACAGAATTTTTAACATATTTCACATTTATATAAGCCAAATAACTTTCTAATGCTCCTGATTCGTGTTCTTATTGCATTTATTTGGATAATAAATAATCAAGAAGACGGTTTATTGGACGATAATATGTGTTCTTTTAGTTATAGGTTTTCATGAATAACTATACATCTAATGGCATGGATCTTGCATAACATAAATAAGTTGGAAAATATTTATCTGTAAACTCGACTGTAAATGTTGGTTCATTTAGAAAGAATTTTTGTTATTTTTTATTCTCATGCATTTATTATTATTTAGCAAAAACTAATATTTCTTCCATACTTAGGTAATAAAATGACGTTGTGATTAAGTACACATACACATAACAATTTATTTATTTCATCGAGATTACCTCACTATTTTAATTGTTCTGAAGCTATAGATAAAAATAATGAACTTATAATTCTATATAACGATAGATTTGTGTCTGCAGGTAGTATCGCTGAGCTTATTAATGATCATTCGCTACACTAATAGAAATAATAATGATAAAAGTAAACAATAATAATACTAGATATTACGAATAAATATATAAATTTAAATAATTAATCGAATTATAATCCATAAGTGTACGTGACTAAAAACAATTTAATTCAAAGACTATTAAACATTTAAAAAAAGTAATAGGTATTTATATTTATGTAAAAAAAGAATTGAAAAAAAAATTAATTAAATATACTTACTGCTATATCTGGATAAAAGTTCGTTTAAAATATTAATAAAGTAATTGAATTATATCATTCTTACATGAATCTACTTGTAGCAATCGTGACAATTGTACTGCTTAGAATAACGTCTGCATCTAGAAGTAAAAATAATCTATAGAGTATGAATTTTGAAACTATAATAATAAACTACCAGAGTAACTTGTTACATTAACGTTTTGAAAACTTTGCATTTGATTATAAAATCCACTTAAGAAATTGTAAAAAAATTTAAGCAAAATTTTAAATATCTGCCATTATTCTCCACCTGTTCATTTATTAATCAATAAAGTAGCAATTAATTTTATCATGTAAATTATATATTAATTTGACATTAGATTACTTTTTTAATGAATTGTAAAATGACATTAAATAATAATAGTACCCAAACAATGTAAGCATTAAATTTCTCATACAATATTAAAAAACATACTGAAGTATATTAAATTTGATTAATTCTTGTACATAAATTTTTAATAAAATAATATTACCTAATTTAAATAAACGCATAAATAATAATTTTACCGTTAATTTCTTTTTAAAAACATTTATATAGTGACAAAAATTATGACCTAAAGTGTGAAACTCGAATTGAAAATTCGTTACACAATATGGAGAGTAGGCAAAGCTAATTAATACATGTCAACAATGATAAGGGCGCTTAATTTAATGACTCAGAATTATAATTATCTGCTCATCGATTACCACTAATTATATAAATTATAATTTTTAAAAAAGCATGTAAAATTGAAGCTTTGATGGCGAGATGATAAATAAATATAATTAGAAATATCATTAATTTAATACAAATAATTTTAACAACTTTAGTTTATATATATATATATATATATATATATATATATATAAATATAAAATCTTAATATAAGTTATAATCATTTTATCGGAATGTAGCTGATACTAATTATAATTGTGCTGTATTAAAACAAAATTTGATATTAAAAGACAATCATATGTAACTTATAGAAATTAATACAATTAATTTATTTTTAATAAATCTAGTAAATCTTGTCTGTTTAAAGATTAATTAATTAAACATATGTAATATGACATATAATTTAAGTAATATTTTATTCTAAATATTTTATTGTTGCACGAGTCATAATATTAATATTAAAAAGTCTTTTAAAAGCTTGGTAAATTCTAAACTAAATATAGCGCTTAATATGTCATTAAATAGAATTAAATGAAATATCATTAAAACAAATGCATAACCGACAAAAAATCCATAGTTTTTTTAACAATAAATTGCTTGGAAAATGTGTGAAACCTTATAGGCTCTTACTCAACAATAAATAATTCGTCAATACATTTAGTTATATATTACAGGTGATGCGATAAAATTGCAAATTAGAATAAATTGTTATCGATAGAATCTCATTGCCTACTGGGATTCGGATAGTTATAAAGGCATTCGAATTAATACAGCAACAGCATCAGCAACATCAACAGCAGCATCAGCAACAGCAGTAACAGCAACGAGAGTATCAACAACATAAAGGTCACATAAGATATTACGGAATAACGCGACCCAAGTCCAGTGACAATGATGAAATCTGCATGAACCTATTGATAAACGACTTCAATTAGATGTGTAAATTTGAACACACCGATACGCAAATGCCACGTGCTCAAGCAGATTTTCACGCGCAGCGATCAATAGCCTAACAAGCGCGGATTGTGTAAGTGGAGCAGCGATAGTAGTGTAACTCAATTAACGGTCGGCCGCGTTTGACGCACGTCTCTCCGCGTCTAGGCCGAGGGCTTATCAACTCCCAGTAAGCGGAAGCTCCTGCCGTTTGTGGTCGCTGCTGACAAGTCCATCGCTACGATGGCGACATCGGAGAATTCGATCGAAGACGACGAGGTAAGAAGTGCCGTGCCGGTCCCGGGTGGTTATATCAGTTTAGCGCGAGGCGCTGCTCCGTCATGGTTCGCTGCTCGCATATCTGTGCCTTGGTAGGTACTCGACTTCCAGTGTCTTCACGTTCGGTTTGATTTTCTGTCTTCATTTTTACCCCCTGTGAAGTGAATTTTTTAACGCTTTGTAAAAGATTCTTTTCGATAGAAGAGTCGACGGTGACGCTCCGCTAAGCTCGATCTACTCAGTATTTCAACAATTACTGCAAACTAGTGGGAGAGTTTTATTTTAAATCCAAGACCTCGACAACACTCAAAAACTCATATTCACTCTCTTTATAAACATTTGTCATGCATATTTTTCATTCTGGCTTTTTTCCTCCTCGGCTTACGGACAAGTCGCAATCAACATTTTCAGCTCGGTAATTTTACAGATTCTTGTACGATCGATGTATGTAACTATGACGTCACTACCAGCCAATTATAATCCTTGCAGCTTTTTATTCTATTTAATTGCTGCATTCATTAATGTATCATTGTTAAGATTGAAATAAAATGAATTCATATAATTCCGGTTGCCATTCGCTCCTTCATTGCTGTATATTTTATCAAAATTTTAATTAATCTTCAATAACAATGAATAATGCGCAATTGAAATTTTATTGCAAAATTTTATGCGCGAATTTTTCAATAAAATTCTAAAATATATGATACATGAAGTAAGGTGCAAATTGTAGATAATATTCACACTAATTTTATAATGGCGTATCTTATGAGATTTGATACAAGTTAAATAAAAAAAAACAAAAAGGTTATATTTTATACGATTCTCAAAGTGCACGTATACTTCTTTAAAATACAGAAGGTTGAGGGATGAATTGATACATGATAATAATGAGGTGACGACGAAATTTACAGCATTTTTATTCGAAGCTCTAGGCTCCTCGTTCCCGTCTCTATTCTCATCATCGTATCCACCTGCCTTTTTCTCTTCATTGCATCTACAATATACCTGAACAGAATTCTTAAAGGAAAAATCATCTTCCATTCTTATCAATATATACTTCTACAAGGGCACATTGCCGTATGAGTGAGATAATCGATGCATTTTCTTATTTGGAATTCAGAAACTGAGGCACGACTTTTACTTCTATTGTACCTCCGCATTTGCATTTTTTTTTCAACTTGATCTCTTTCTTCGAAATTGTACAAAATTATAATTTCTATATAATTTACTTACTAATATTAATATTAAATTAACTATTATTATTATTGTTAAGGTGATTTATATGGCTTACATTCAAGTATTTCAACAAGAGAATTTGACAATTTGAAAATAAAAAATAGTTATTTACTCCATAGCAACATCTATGCAAATTTGTTGTTTTTAAACTTAATACTTACAAATACTGACAAAGACATTCGAGAACAAAAATGAAGAATTTTATCTAATACTGCATTATTTGAATAACTTTAAACAAAAATCTATATTTAAAAATATTATATCGTATTATATATATATATATATATATAAAGAGTAAAAAAAAAACCCTAAAAGAGAATTTGTTTTTAATCACAACAGAATTAATATGATAAAGGAAACTGGAGAAATTAATTCTTAAATTATTCATTGCATTTGAAATTATTGAACTGGAAAAGTCATATTAAGATAAACGAAAGACGAGAATAAACCTCTTTTATGTAATTTTTAATAAAAATATATTGTCGATATAATATTTGAGATAGCTATTGATTATAGATAACCACAACACTATTAATTTTTACAAAATTTCATATTTCCACGTATAGTAAAATTTTTATTAATCCTTGATAAAAAAAAAAAAAAAAAAAAAAAAAAATATAAAAAAAAAAAAAAAAAAAAAAAAAAAAAAATCTTATAATATACAAAGAACTAAAATTAAAAAGCAATTAAATAAAAATGCTTATATGTATCTTATATTCATTAAATAATCTACTATTTGCCGATTATATTAAATATTTGTATAGCTGTAAATAATTACATATAGAAAAAATATTTAAGATATACTTTATCTGGTATGTAGTTGTCGTTTCAGTTTTATTATTTACAATATTTGTAAAATGTGCATTCCTTATTTAATTAAAATTTTCCGAAACGTTTTTGTAAATATTTAGATGGTACATTTTCTAATAAAAATATCAATATATCGAATATTTAATGCCTTTAATTTTATAAGAATGCACACAGAGATTAATGTATATTAAAAATACACGAGAATTGAATATTCCGTACTATTAATATCATATTTCTAACGTCATGAGTATCTGGCAATATCATTGTATTTTTGCATGTAGCAATAAAACATACAACTTAATTCAATTTCAATTTAATACTTCGTGCAAAAAATCGTATGGATTCCAATATACCGTTTGTTTATTTAATAATTTCTGATCGCTACTTGAAATGTACTTGAATTGCCTATAAAGAACGAGTCGTGAACTGGCAAAGTGATTATTACGAATCGTGCGAATTTCTAAATTTCCGTAAGAAATAATATGTAAAATTCTAATGTATACAAGTATATAAAGTATGAAAGCAAAGTTCGAAAGATATTTATATAATATCTTCAGTACACGGAAAAATTCTTGGAATATAAGATTCTTACTTTTATACGTGTGCGCGCACTGATAATAACAAATTCGCTTAACACCCGCGAGGCAAAACTTTCTAGTTGGCTATGCCCGATTAAACCTTATTGGAGATTCGAATTTACCTCTAGCGTGTTGTTATGCAACGAATTCCTTTTAAAGTACCAAAATCGATTCAGAAATGTCTCGACATCAAGGTACTTTATTTTCCTGCTTCTACGCGCGGCGAAAAAAATTCGAGACGAGAATATAAAATTTTCCAAGTCCACTTTGATACAGTTTTCAAGTGTACGATCTTTATTTTGCATTTTATGGAGCAACTGTAAAATACTACTTGGTGAAGAATGATAGGAAAATAGAGAACGAGGAAGAGAGAGAGAGAGAGAGAGAGAGAGAGAGAGAGAGAGATTGGGGGCAGAGGAAGGAACGTAAATGACGCAAAGTTTTGTACAGATGTTGTTACTATTATCTTTAAATATCATAATATTTAAACATACGACCTATTGGATGTGCATATGAGGATGTAAAATTGAAAGAGAATAAATGTAGTTGATAATGTATGTTATATATTTTATTATTCGCTGATTATACACGTTCTATTTATTATTTTTCTTTTTTCTTTTTATTATTTAGATTTGTTTCTCCTTTTTATTTGTTGATTTATATATATATATATATATATATATATATATATATGTATATATATGCCAGTATTATTAGTTTTGTATCCACCTCATAATGCCATTCGTTTTCGACATCAGCGAATGAACTGACCTTCAAAAGTCCAAAGATGCTTGTTTGATTTAAATCATTCTTTAAACGCGAAATGCATCATTTACTAGAGATAATATGATTTCATTACAGGATTTAACCTACTCGGACGGTGGCCATAATTGGCGAAGTATTATATTTTCCTTGCTGGTTATTAGTGCTGTTATAGCCGGAATAGTTACAGCCATTTATTTACTTGGGTAAGCCATAATACTTTGCACTACCATTAATTATGCCAACATGTCAATATAACATTTACGAGAAAAATTAATTTTGTAAATTGTGTAAAGTAATTTTGCTCAACAAATTGCCGATAATAAGAATATATCTAAACAAAAATACAGTGAAATAAAATGTTTTATCAATCAACGTACTATTCCCATAAGACATTCGAATGAACATTACGCGTATAAATTACAGTTGCCAAAACGAAAAGCTCGTTAAGAAAAATTCAATCATCCTTGAAAGCACATTACGGTAAAAAAGTAGAAAGAAGGTAAAAGTTGAGTCACGACTGGATGAAAATTGGTAAGGTCGTTCTCTTTTGTTTTCGGTAACAAGCTACGTCGACGAACTTTTGTACTGGAGCGGACGACGTCTGACGCTGGAGGAATGCCTTCACGGTGACTTGACTCCACAGAGGCTTCCACCAACTTGGATCTCTCACGATAAATTCGTCTATCAAGCAGACGACGGCTCACTTGCTCTTCTCGACGCTTCCAACAACTCAATTTCACTTCTAGTATCGAATCATACTCTTGTAAGTATACTTACGCTTTCTGGGCATTTAATTAAATGACAATTAAGAATAGCTAAGTGCCTAGCTAATAGTATATTATTATATTTATTAATGGGACTCTTCACTTCGTTCTATAATTTCTATCATAAGCTTGCATTATTTGATTTCTTATAGTAAATTCAGATCAATTTGTTGGCAATTTTATAACATTACGAGAATTATTTATGATAATAATTCAATTATTTATAATAATTTATGATAATTTTAACTTAAAATATTTCTTTACTTAATATAGAGAAGGAAATTTTTACTTTATTGAGGGTGTAGTTTGTTTTTATACTATTTTTATACTATTTCATGGACAATTTCGATGATTCATCACAGTATGAGTAATCCAATGATAAATGGCATAATAAAAATATATAATGAAACAAATTACGAATTTTTAAAATAATTGTCAATGATACGTTCCTATTACGTTTTTATTATTCTTCTACGCTCTTATTAGATGAGATTCAAATATTAAATTTGTTTGTATCATTGAAAGTCTGTTATTAAGTATTATACGTACATCTAATAACCATATTCGACCAAACTTCAAATTATAATTTATCCATAATCATACATAAATAAAAACATATTAATAAATAAGATAATTTATAGGAAATAAAAGAAAGTACATTATCGTTCACCTTCTCAATCACAAAATTCTTTAATTTTGTTAGATAATATTTGGAATTTGTGAAAATTGGATTTAAAATTTATTTTCATTTTTTTTGTAAAACTTTATAATTCCATCTTTAACTGATTAAAATTTTTCAAGAAATTAATAAAAATAACGCATGTTAATCATCATAAAACAATATTTTAAAACATCTTCAAGAATTTAATATCATTTAGATCTGACTCTGTCAGTTTTTCTATTTTACTGTTAATAGTAATTTTTATTATTTAATAATAATCGGTTTATAAACAAAAAAAATTTTCTCAAACCTCTAATCTACCTTTTCAGTCACGCTGTTATTACAACGAAAAAATTTTAATTAGAAAAATATCAAAATTTAATTAAATTTTGACATCTCTGTATAGAGATATATTAAATGAAATAATTACCTTTAATTATGCATTCTGTTACCCATGATATTGTGGAAATGAGATGTTAAAATAGAAATTTTAACGATTATTATGAATTAAATGATAACAACACGTATAATAATATATTCAATTTTAATCATTTATACTGCTTAGTTATTTATTAATTTTTAAGATCAAGGAAGTTCAAATTAATTCATATTAAAATCATAAATCACGCGAATTATAATTTTCAAAAATAAAATTAATCTTATGACTGAGTTTTTATTGTTCTTAATCATAAATATAAAGTGTATTGAAAATTAACTAATCTCCAACGTCAATAACATTTACACAATACACTCAACTAAAATGTTCAAACTATAATTGCCTATGCATAAAATAAAGAAATAATGATACATAGAGAGAAAGAGGCAGAGTGGGAGAGAGAGACAGAGAGATAGAGAGATAGAGAGAGAGAGAGAGAGAGAGAGAGAGAGAGAGAGACAAAGAGAATTGGAGAAGGAGAATAAGAAAAAGAAAGAAATGGTGGGAGATTACTATCGGCTCTCGTAAATCTCATATATCGGAGGACTTAAATTGGAAATTGCAAATTCGCCACATAGAATCACGTACTACCACCATTTAACAAGTGAACGCCTTTGCCACATACCATCGTACCTAAGCATACATATATACAAACAAATAACCAACACGTAGGCATTCCTCATTTATATTTGGGTTTGTGGGCATGTGTATGTATAAATTTCCATTTACAAGTGTGTAGAATGTACATACATGTTACACAACAACGCCATACAGATAAATATTTGCACTCTAGTAAATATTTCTGTTACTGACTCGTACTGTACTCGCACACACTGTCATATACATAAAAATATTTAAAACTAGGCAAAATATTTAATGCACCGATTCGCTACGTATATTACAAAAAAATAAATTATAACGGATGATCGTCAAATGAATTAGAAGTTAAAAAAGAATAAATATACTTTCACTAGCTTTTTTATATAATTATTTATTAAACTCACAATATTAAATATAATATATGGATAAAATACAGCTATAATCGAAAATTATCTATGCAAGTTTGTTTGCTACTCACTAATTGTTATGATGCATTCAGACACTTCTGCTACTATATTTTTGAATTTACATCAAAATACCATTTTACAAGAAACTCGCTAAATTGAGTTTCCTACATTTTCATACAGACAAAAATATATTATGAAATGATTAATTTTAGCAATAAAATATTCAAACTGTACATATGTAAATATAACAAGAAAATAATTACATGTAATTGCTATGTAAATATTCATAGCTCTTAACTAATAAACTGTATTTCTCTTATCAAAATTAGACGGCTCAACATTTAACTTAGTTTACAGTACATTTTACAGTAAATAAACTAATTTAAACTATAAAAACTATAGAAAGTATAGAAAAACTATACTAGATAATATATTTTATAAATATTCGATAGATAATAATAAAAAAGTCAATTAAATGTCAATTAAATAAGAGCGAATATATTATCCTCTGTAGATTTTACCATTTCTCATACTTTACACTACTCATTCTCTCAATTCTCTTTTGCTTATTCATTCATGAAACCTCATTGAGATCAATCAGGAAATGCATCCAAATAATTGTAGAAAATGTAAATTTCTATTTGTTCAATTGCTCATGGATTTTTCAGGAATTAAATGGAGATATGCTACTTAGGTTAGTAGCTATACTTTACGCCATTTTTAAAAAATGAAATGTGTAATGATAATAAAGTAGATGATCTTACTTTCACATCAAGAAATTAAATTACTACAATATCCAAAATAAATCAGGAATTTACACAAATAGAAATTTTAAATGTACATCTAAGATTTGTTCTTATTATTATTAAAAATATTGACAGTAAATATAGATGTTGCATATCACCTTAATTCTTTATTGATTATATGAAAATTTTATTTATATCGTTAAAGATATAATAATATTTAAATATGAGAAAATTATAATATTTATTATAAAATTCACAATCAGTTGAATGAATTAAAAATTTATATTCATATTATTAATTAAAGAAATTATAATATACAATTTAAACATTTATATAGTTATAGTATTTATAACTTATAGATAATAAAAATTCTCATACGCAAGAACTCATTTGAATTATTCGACTATTTAAACAATATATCTATGAATATTAATTTATTGATTACAATAGACTGTAATAATAGAAGATGTAATAATAGAATGGAGTACATAAATATTTAAGAAATTACGGTAATAATAATTAAATGTTAGCGCATCTGTAAAGCGTTGTATCACTAAAATAATAATACTCTTTACTTCATAAAAACCGAAATTGTAGCAAGAAATTAGAATGGGGTAGTAAAAGTAATAAATAAGCATTCTTTTTAATAAAGTGTCCCCTATTAGCTTGTATAATTTTAATAAAAATTAAAAGTGAATTCATTATATAAAATTGTAGATCTTCAATAACTAAATCTTGTTCAAGGTCAGATAAATGATAAATCATTTGAATTCCATTCGTGCATTTAATGTAATTATATACGAGTGTTAAATATCTTGTTTCTGGTTTAAAAAGATCGAAATCAACAAACTAAAGTATAAACTGGAATGTGTCGTGCTACTTTCAAATTGTTCAACCTCACTAATGAAGTGGTTGGTTTAGTTATTCAACGTTACTGTTCAGCACGTGCAACTGCCTAAATAACTGTAACAGCTTTGATCAAGACGATTTTTATTTCTCTCGTGATTCACTTTAACGTAACAGACGATATATATATATATATATATATATATATATATATATATATTATGAATGAGCCATTATTTAAGATTGAATCATGCATGAATGATTATTTTATTATATACATATGTAATAGCTTTATGTAATTAAAAATATGCTACAATCCCCTTGGAAATTGGTGAATATTTTAAGTTTATTTTTTTACTTATGATTTAATTATAATAAAATATATAATATAATTTTAATTGTAAATGAAAAAAAAACTAATCTGTACCTAATGTACTATTGTTATATAATGTATTATTATTATTGTTATTAATTGTAATTTGTACACATTACCTTATTACACACCATATCTTGTATTATATTTATATATAAATCTTCATAAACTGTGAAAATTAATCATAAATTAATATATAAATATGTATTTGAAATTAATTCACAAAAGTGAACATTATAAATAATATCCATCTATTCATCTCTTTTAAAAGTAATTCTTCGTTCATCTTTAAACTATTATCTTTGCCTTATTTAAATCGAGATTCTTCCTTAGTAGACTTATAAGCTTTCTAGTATTTACACTAAATGAAATTTTATAAATTTCTTATTAAATATTTGAGATGTAAATCTTTGGAATAATCTACATTTACGATTAAGTAATAAATAGTTGTGAAAATATATGTGTATTAATTGAAGAGAACCTGCCAGTTGCGAGTGGCTCAATAATTTTGCAAACCAGAAAGTTCGCTCAGATTCCAAAAAGCAAAACCACCAGCGCGCTTTACCATCCAGTTACTTTCGAAGGCGCCCCACACGATTGTGCACGTTCACACGCACACACAAAGGCGCAAGGCCAGATGAAAAGTTACGCAACCGGTCGAGAAAAATGGTGGGAGGAAAAAGAAAGATTGAAGAAGGAATGGCAAGAACGAGGGGCAAAGCGAATGAAAAGAGAGGCGGTCAGAGAGAGAGAGAGAGAGAGAGAGAGAGAGAAAGCGATAGTGAGCGGTGGAGAATGTAAGGGCGGGAGGGGGTATGCGATGAAAAAGAAGCGATTACGCCAGAGCCGGAAAGTGGAAGGCTTCCAAATCCTCATCCCTCTCGCGAGCATTGATCCACGGCGCGTGTCGCTCGCCTGGCAACTGTCTCTTCTTTCTCGCTTACGAGCTCTTCTCATCTTCGCAATCGTGAAAATGAGATTTTTCAGCCCTTTAGATTGACCTCAGCTTTCGCCGATAATTCGTCCGGCAAAAACATAATCGTCCCTACGCCGCTTTACTCCGAAAATCTCTCCGCATTTGATATTATTTAGAAAGTGCGCGATTAATTCTGATAATCGATAGCAATTTTTGAAGAAGCTTGAAAAATATTGGTGACGGAGGATCTTGAGACTCTTTGAAGAAGGCGAGTTTGAAGAAATGATAATACGACAGAATCATACGGATGTCTTCCTACTAAAAACGAGTCTTTTTCAACATTACGGGCTGCGTCTACGTGTAACAGCGTACGTTTTCGATTATTCGACTTACTTCCTAAATAAATTTTTACATAAATTTAATTTCCAACTTTTGATAAAATTTTTCTTATTTTGACGCTACATTTTATGTATAAAAAAAAATCAAACATATTTAAACACGCTAAATACTGAAAATTTGATTTATTATTATCATATTTAATGTCTTTAATGCACTTTTGCTTGTCATATACACGGAAGCATATAAAACCAAAATTTAAGAAAAATAATTTTTTAACCAATGAAAAATTTACACTATATATATCGCTATTAACTGTATTAGAAATTTATTAAAACATTTTGTTTTTTTTGGGATATTTCATCATAATTCGAATTAGGCAAAGAGTTGACATTAATTATGAGTTTTATAATTGTTATCACCTTCAATAAAAATAGAAATCTTTTATACAAAATTCATAAATATTTGGCATATAAAAATTGTATTAGATAATCTCAGTAATAAAGAATAGTCCAAGATAATCGACATGAAAATACTATTGTGTGACTTAATGCTTACAAGTTTAATAATTTCGATATTTTTATCAATCATATAAGATAATAGTCACAATTACAAATTAAAGTTATTTGTCATTGTAAGCAATTATTATTAAAGATATCATTATATAAATTAATTCGTTTTTTACTCGATTCGTTATTCAAAAATTTTTTTAATTTTCACTAATCCGAGGCAAATTTTTATAAAAATTATATTTAAAATATACCTAAATTTTTTAATTTAGGTAAAATCTTAAAATTTTGCAATAATTAATTTATCATATATCATCGTAAATTATATAAATATTTTTTAAATATCAGTTTTGATAAAAAAGTTATAGTTCGGATTTATTTTTTTCTTTCTTTTTTATTAATACTACATTCAGTTCGAACGATAAAATTCTATTTTTCATTCTAAAAAGCAACAACTCATTCTTAAATTTATGCATTCAGATATTAATGTATCTTAAGAAAAAAAATGATAATTATTTCTGACACTGTTTTGATGATGGTAAAAAAAAATATTAAGCATAGCCTTTAGCTATATATTAATTATTTAATTCCTCGTTCCTTCTTATCCCTTGCATATTTATTTGTGTAAACCTTTGATACATCAAAGAACAAATGTGGTTTAAGTATTTTATGGTTTCACAATACCAATGCTCGGTTCTCTCTCTAATACTCTGACACACTCTCTATCTCTGTGCGTGTGTCTCTCTCTTCCACTATTCCCTTAACTTTCGCTTCTTTTTCTCCCATTTCTTTTATAAGTGGTAGTCTACAGTTTTTGTTAGCTTTTACGAATTTATACATCGCATTAGATATATTTAAGAACTTTGGTTGGACAATTTCAAATACGAGTTTTTTATTCAGAGCGTTCTTTTTTTTGGTGTAACAAAAAAAGTAAATTATTGAAAAAAGTAATTAATAATAATTTTAAATAAATCAATATGTACAATAAATGTATAATGTATCTATATATAATTATAAAGTAAAAATTATTAAGTAAATTAATTAAATTTACTTAAATACTTATATTTTGAAATAAAGTCATGTATGTTCAAGTTAAAGCTTCAGATATTCATTGAAACACAATTTAAATTTGCGATACAAAATACTGCAAATGCAACTAACTGTAAAATTTGTGAATATTCCTGGAATAAACTCTTTAATAATTTAATAAAAACTTAGCATTTAATATAGTTAATTTTTTTATACAATAGATATGTCGATTTTTCGAGATAATTTACAAATTTCAAAATCAATTCGGCTCATTCGAATGATATTAAGTATCGTGGATATTTAATGATGTAAAGGTTACAGAGCTATAATTAGGATTATTTTGTTTCCCCTTATTTTGAGAGAGATGTGGTGTACATTTTGCGACATAGAAAGTTGAAATTAAACACGGATGTTGAAATCTATTTCAAGAGTGGCCCGATTCACATAATGTCAAAGGGATGGATAAATTCGTAGGAGGTAATCGGTATAAACGATCTCATATATAATAATATAATCGCTTTCAACTTGACTTCTTGTTCTGATTCATTACAAGTTTTATCTTATAAGCACCATTTTTGTCTCTTTTGACGATCGGAAATTTTGGCGATATTCTGAAAATTCCACTCTATTAGCTACTTTCATTCGATCTCTTATAAGAGATGAACACTCATAAATCAAGATATTTATAAATAAAAGAGGAATCATTTGTTAAGACTATTGAAGAAGAATTTTTAATAACATTGTTTTAAAAATTTATATTTTTAATATAGACGGATAGGAATCATATAAATAAACAGTTTTATATAGAAGAAAAATATTTTCTTTTAAGTATGCATACACTGTTTAAAAAAGTATATTTATTTTTCTTTCAAGATTTTTTGTCTGAATTGTAAGAACATATTGAAAAGATTTCAATTAATATTCTTAAATGATTTATATCTTTGATTCTGTGCATAATATAATAGTAGTTAATTAAAAAAAAATCGTATGCTTTAAATTACGATTGAAATAAAAGATAAAAGTAGAGCTTAATGATGAACTTGTATCAATAATCGTGATCATGTTATCTTACTCTCTCTTTCCCTACTTTCTTTTTTTTTTCACGCTCCTCTTTTATGAAAAATAGTACTTAGTTATATGCAATTATTCTTTCGTTTCGAAATATCAGTGTGATATATTACGAATAAAACAACACCAAATACAAATTTAATGATACATTCTAAAATATACGTTAAGTCTATAAACATTATATATATATATATATATATATATATATATATATATATATATATATATATATACATACATATTCACAGAGGCAGCTGAACGTACAGGGCTACCAATGCAGTGCCGACCTACGTTATGTACTCTTCAAGCATAATGTCAAACCGGTACGTAAACACCTCAATTTATCATACATGAATGCATACACATTTGCACGAGCACACGCGCAAACATACATGCCTGTATACATATAAGCATTTAAATTTAATGGATTTCATTTTAAAGATGTACATCTTCTTCATATGGTTTAAATATATGGTTTTCAGGTTTTCCGACACACATTCACTGCTCATTACACTGTATACGATGTTACAAACGAGTAAGTATACTTTAAATTTGCATTTTATGCATTTATTATGATTTGTTATAATTATGAATTCTTATTTAAATAGCTCACATATTAAAAAAAAATTATGATTATGAACGTTTACTAATTTTGTTATGTATATTAAGTTATATGCTCAATTAATTTACTAAAATACAATGTAAATACAAATACGGGTAAAGATTTAAAAATAAATAAACAAAATTAATTTGATCAACGTTGAAAATTGAAATTTGACTAAAAAATTCGAAATTTACACAATTAAATAAAAAGTAAATGAAGATAATTATTTTATTTGCGTCTATCGTCATTGTTTGGTAATATAAATTATTGTAGTCCTATACATACCGAAGTAGACGCAAAATTCTATAATTAAAATTAAAATACAATTTGCAATAAATTTAAAAATTTTATGTTGAATTTTCATACAATTTATAATTAAATATTAAATTATCTGTTTTACATTTGTATAAATCAATGAAAGATCGATAAGTTATTTTTATTTATTTAATTAGGAAACGTAATACAAGCATTAATCTTTTGTAACATACTGACAATATACCCGATGTAGATTCGCTTTGAAAATTATATGTCATAGTGGGTAACCAAATAAATTGTAAAAACCGAACCGTCAGTAAATAGATGGGAATAAATGCTATGCCACTAATAAAAAAATAATGTGATAAGTACCAATTTAGACTTTAATTTACAGCAAGTATTTATTTTTATAAAAATTGGCACTTTAAGCAATTTTATACATATAAAATTTAACGAAACACATCAATTTTAATTTAAAGCAAATATTTTATAATCTCTTGAATATTTACTTTTTAACTACGTAATAGAGGAAAAATTATGAAAATAAATTCAGCTATGTATAATCTTATTGTACATCAAGTAAAATAAATGCATTGTCATATTTGTTTCAATAATGTATATAAACGTGTCATTTAACTACATTACCAAAACATTAAAAATCTAAAATATGAATTATAATATGGATTAATTCTATATCTTCATTATTAATGTAAATTAATTCTATCCGGCTAAAATATTGACTATAAGTATCTTGAATTATCGAATTTTCTATTTGCTGTAATATTAATTAATAAGAATTGTAACCGAGGTATCGACACTTATCGCTAGTCCTAAAGAAACTAACTCTTTGCACCGCTGAATTCATTATTAATGTATAAAACAATGGAAGCATTGAGATTGCATAGAAAATACAAATATTTTTGGCCGTCATTTAACATTGCTTAAAGTTCATCGCTGTTAATGGAAGATCGAGCAAACGCAAGAACCGCAAATGGCATTAACAATGAAGGAGTGCGCGGGTATATATGGACTTAACACGAAAGTGCATGAAGCTTGTTTGGCAGCGAGTCGTCTAGCAGCCTAGGGAGGAGAATAATTGAAATTGTAAATGTCTATCGATGTTATCGAGCAATTATTAACAACCAACTGCTGACATCACTCCCCGTAATAAAAATTGTCCCGCAAAATGATTAATCGCGCGAGAAGAGAACAACGAGTATTCGCGGTCCAGCCCCGTGTTCGCCGCAAAAACGAGCCGCAACGCTCGAGCTACGGCTAACCTCAGGTCGCCCCTGTCCACAGCCACCACACGCCCCTTCGGCTCCAAGCCTCGTCCCGGATCCAGCAGACGAGGCTCCAACACGCGGCCTGGCTCGGCAATACTACCGCCCTCTTCATGGTCTCTGACAACGACATCTACATCCGAAGCTCGCCCAACTCCGCTGAGGACTCGAGGCTCACGCATACTGGCCTACCCGGGATCGTCTACAACGGAGTACCCGACTGGCTGTATCAGGAGGAGGTTCTGCCAAGGCCCGACTGCACCTGGCCAAGCCCCGACGGCTCGCACCTCCTCTTCGCCAGCTTTAACGACACCAAAGTTCGTGCGACATTTGCTTATCATCATGATTGGAAGTGGCGTCAGCTCGTTCAACTGCGCTCGCAACTGCTTTATCGCTGTTTATTATTTCATTATTAGCTTCATTTACCACTAGTACTTCTGCCTTAATAAGCGAGTCTTGAACAATCGATGCTTTAAACTTGGATACTATTTGGTAAATTATACGCACGGGCACAGTGTTCGTTTCATTAGATTTTCCATTCATTTGTAATAGGCAACATGTAAACTTCTCGCTTCACCTAATGTAATTATAAGGTCTAATTTGTTTATAATTTATTTTAATTTCCATTTTTAATATTACAGCACTGGTTCGTATCGTATGTATATCGACATTTTTTTGGCTATTATCATGAAATAATCAAAGTAGTATGAGGAAAAACATTTTAAATATTTGAATGCTTGTTCCAATCGTTATTAAACAAACAATAATCACTGCAATTTTCTCAAGCTCAATTTAATTAACGATTGATGACAAATTGTTAACTAACTATTAATTCTGAAACAATCGAAGCACTAATTATGATTATGATATAAATTCTTTAAAGAGAGACCGATTCTTGCCAATGCATAATAATTAATAAATGACAATTCATGGATAATTAACGTTTGTCCATTATTTCAATCAATTTCCATTATGTGTTTAGTTCTGTTAATATTTTTGTAAAAATATATAATTGAAAGAAAAAAGAGGCCGGGATCGACTTCTCGGCTGTCAGTACTGACCAGTCAAAATTAATAATTGAACGAATACATGTATAAGCTTCATACGACCTTGACATTGGATGAAATCTTAGGTCACGGCACTGGAGTTTCCCTGGTTCGGTGCATCGATGAACTCAGAGACGATGAGGAAGGGCGTTTTCCCTCCGGCAAGGTCAGTGAGGTATCCCACGCCCGGCTCGGCTAACCCGGAGGTTGACGTCTGGATCGTCGACTTTACCAACGTTACTACGGGATACAATAACGCGACCAACGTGACCAATTCAACGCCCATTAAAATTAAGCTCAAGCCACCGCCGGTTTTCGATGGACAGTAAGGGATGGATTTTTCAACCGTTCGAATAGTCTTTTTCATTTGTGCTTTCATTTAACATTCTTCACTTTATTGTAAAGTTTTTGTAATATCTTGTCGAAAACTAATGTGATAAATAATCTTGTTTGCTAAATAATTACATCATACTAATATTTACTTTAAATTACGTTAATGTAAATATAGATATTGCCTTCACTGGCAATGGCAATACAGCACTAACAAAATCTTACTTAATTAAAATATATAAGTACGGAGTGGTTTTAATGGTATTATTTATCTATTTAATTTATTAACTGGTAGACCAATTACGATAAAAGTATTACTAGACACTATTATAAGTAAATTAAATAAATTCAATAGAAACAGCATAAATTATATTTTGTCTCTTGATTTTCTAATACTCAAAATTATATAAAATAGTTATTATGTAAATAATTTAAATATATAATGTATATTATACTAATTATATATATATATATATTTTTTTTGCCACCGAAGCATTCTGTAAAGTCAAAATATTGTAGAAACGAGTTGGAAATTCATGCTACCCAAACATCTTAATTATGCAATGCTTTCTTATCCACTTATTAATTACTTGAATAATTTCTTATAAAACGATGCGAATAAGGGAGAGCGTAATAATACAAGCCAAATGTAACTGTAAATTCCGGTATAAATTTAGCAGTGTTACGTAATGAAAAAAGATAGGAAAATAAGTTGATGAATCATAACGCGGTTATAGGGAATATTACCTAATATCGGCGGGCTGGATCGGCGATGATTCCACTCAGGTTGCGGTTGTGTGGATGACTCGCTCGCAAAATCTGTCGGTGGTATCTGCGTGTCGCGGACCCAACTGGGACTGCGAGGAGACGCACTCGGAGCGCGCTCCCGAGGGCCAGTGGCTCGACGCTCAGCCCCATCCGGTTTTCGCCCCCGACGGCGACAGTTTCCTTCTTCTGGCCGCGGTCCAGGAAGGTGGCCAGGAGCACTTTACCCACATCAAGCACGTCACCCTCACACAGCAGAGGATAGCCGTTCTCTCTCATGGCCAGTACGAGGTATATAATCTTATCAGACATACTCCTCTTGAGTGTTTCCCTCTCGTGTTCCATTCTTTTGTCATGCCCTCTTGCTTGCTATATCTCGCATTATATAATTAGCGAATTTGGCACTCTCCTTTTGTATGAGTTTGTTTGAAGTTAGGAGTGATTTAGAAGTCGTTCTTTGGTTATAGTAATTTAATCTATAAAGAGTTGAAGAAGAAGTAGATTGACCAAAAGAAAAAAAAACAAAAAAAAAAATTAAGTAACAATAAATAACTAGAAATCCACCAGCTCAATATATTATATTAAGGTATTTTTAAAAATGAATTATTAAAGTTTTCAATAATATTGAAGGTAATATTTTCCTAGTCTTATCGCGTCAACATCATACGGTTTCTAATCGTGTATACTTTCGTACATGAGTAATTTAAAGTTTTTATACTATTACTCTTGCAATTGATCTTTATATAATTAGAAATCAAACACTTTGATGGATGCAATAATGTACCTACATTTATGATAGAATTATATTTACTAGTATGACCAATGAATTTACAAGGGAAACTGAACTAATTAGCATAGTTTCATGTTTAAGAAAACATATACAGAGTTTAGTTACACGGATTTTCATCAAATTTAACTCATAAATTTATATTTGCTGCATATATTATATAAATTAGCAAAGGCGGTGAAAAGTTAAATTTTTATTCTGAATGTTTAAATATGTATTTGTAATAATATTTGTCTAGACTTCTACAATTCAACTCACCCATTAAATATTTATATTACGATTACTCTACTTTAAACATTTCAGTAACAAGTTAATTGCTAAAGAGCTTAAAATATCATTCATTTTTATATAATTAGTATAAAGAGTTTTTACATAATAAAAATATTCAAATCGTTGGTATAACAAATTTTTAAAGTACCTAAAATTTTATGATATTAATTATTTAATTATATTTTCATTTAAAGTGAAAAACGAATATTTTTTTTATTCTTAAAAAGATTTCTCCCAATATGTCATATTAATTTTCTTCAAATAATATTGAATTTTAGAACAATGAATAATGAATTTTTTTAAATAGAAAAGATAGTTAGATAATTATTCTTAAAATACCAAAAATATATGAATTCATATAAATATATATATAAAATCGTAAAATGTATTAGTAGAGTAAAGTAAATCATGTAATCACAAGTGCATACAGATATTAAATTTATACAGCTTTGAACATTGGGAATACTTTAAAATTAATTGATTTTTTTAATAGTTTGAAATCCCATATATTCTTTACAATGAGAAAATGAAATGATTAATTAAGCAGATGGACGCATAACCTACCCATCCATATAACTAAGAGCAATGGATTAAGCCGCAATTAAATTTAATCTTTCTCAATTAGTTCGCATCACAGTGCTGTATACGAAACTTCGTATTTTAGTTATTACTAATGCTTTTGAAAAGATGTATTCCAAACTATGTAAAGTTCCTAAATATTATTTTGTCTGAAAGCTATTAAAACTTATAAAATATCCACTAAACATCATTCAGTACACAAAAATCTGACTTTTTCACTTTAAATACCACTCTTTTATATCTTCTACGGAAGATAAGTTATAAATGTTAACTAAAACAGTCTTAATTATTTCAAATTTTCGTATCAAATTTTTATTGAATAATTACAAATTTCAATAATTTTTAATAATATCAAAACAAAAAAAAAGAAGTAGAATCTGAAACGTATTTCATTTCGAACTGAAAAACAACAGTTAATTATTGTAATAATCCGAATATTCTTCTCGTTAGCGAAGAAATTTAAATGGCCCATACATTACTTGTGCAGGTAAGCGAAATTCTAGCCTGGGACACTAGATCGCACTTGGTCTATTATTTAGCGTCGAGGGAGCGAAGTCCCGGACAGAAACACCTTTACGTGGTGAAAGACCCCATAGCGGATGATCCGCGAAGATTAGAACCGCTTTGCGTCACCTGCGACATCGGCGATCTTCAGTGGAATAGCCGGTACGCTAATGAAATGAATGAATAATTGATTTTCATGGGCTATTACTTATTATCAATCAAGGCAACATTTACTTGCATTCTAAAAGCAACTGTGTTCGACTAAACTATCTCTTTAATTTGAAAAAATATATCAAATAAATACTGATTTTCCATATGTTTGGCGGTACGTACTAGTATTTCACACGAATTAATGAAGATTGAAGCTTATTTCTTCCATTACGTATATATATATATATATATATATATATATATATATATATATAAATATACATAAATATGTAAATATATTTTAATATAATCGTAAGTTATTTTAATCATTATTAATTTGTAATTCATGGAGTATTGTATGCGTATGTGTGTTTATATGTGTAACTGACCAATTCTCGTAAAGCGTTTAATAAATCACATTTTAGTTATTATTACACGAACTGTACGCACTTTGGAGCGTCGATAAACCCACCAATTCAAGAGGGCCAGCTGCGTGAGATAAAAGAGGACGAGGAGCTTGGATATTACGTGCTATATTGCGAAGGCCCAGGGCTACCACTTGCCGCCATTCATTCAATGCGAACGCATAAAATTGTCCGAGTCCTGTACGATACGAGAATTCAGAGGGCGGAACTTTTATCGCAACTCGCTCTACCTAAACGACAAAGTTTCGAGGTATAAATGCATATATCTATGTATATGCAGGTACGTTTAATGTTTTGCAAATAGAATAGGTACGCGAAGAAAGAATAATCTCATTTCCTGTGCCCTGCATATTCGTAAATATACTTTGAATTTAAGTACTTGTTTATTGACAGGCCAGAAGCGATGCTTTAAGTAATAAATCGAAGCTAATGGAATTTAAATATGTGAAAAATTTAGGGTATAATAATAAGTTAGTAAAATTTTGTCTGACTGACTTTATCTCTGCTATACAACAGTATACTTACGAGCATAAAATTTAAACGATTAATATTTATAATAATAATGATAATGATAATAATAATAATAATAATAATAATAATAATAATAATAATAATAATAATAATAATAATAATAATAATAATAATAACAATAATAAATCTCACCTTATGCAATAAAATGAATTTGAAGTATTTTTTAGTTTATTTAGTTTAAACTTAAAAATCAAGGATGGCGATTAAGTGCTTGCTTTTCGCGTGAAAACCAAATCCAAACTGTTCGAGATTGTGTGCAATGAAAATACAATTTATCGATTGGCAACGGGAAGCCAAAATTTCAGCGCTCGACACAGACTGTGTAGACAAAAGTAGTATCGCCCAACATACTATTTAACCACATATACACGAACGAGGGCACGATGTTTTAGGTACCACTACCGCAGGGTTGGAGAGCCCAGGTACAATTGCTCTTGCCACCCTCGTGGCGGGAAGAGTTGCGTGACGCTGCATTTCCGGTGCTCGTAGAGGTGAACGGACGACCGGGAAGTGCGGCCGTGAACGACCAGTTTAGGGTCGACTGGGGCACCTACATGTCCAGTCACAACGACGTCGTTTACGTCAGGCTCGACGTGAGGGGAGCTAGGGGACAAGGCAAACGCGCCCTCTATCGCCGCATAGGTGGCGTAGAAGTACAGGACCAGGTAACCGTCCTTAGACATCTCCTGGACACTCTCAAGTACCTGGACGAGTCCAGAGTGGGCGTTTGGGGATGGGGCTACGGAGGCTATGTTACTTCCATGGTTCTCGGAAGCCAGCAAAATGTCTTTAAATGCGGCGTAGCCGTAAACCCCATCGCCGATTGGCTCTATTACAGTAAGCATCGTCAATGCTTGTTAATTGTAGGGTTGCAAAAGCAATATTTCAGATTATATTATTCGACGAGAATTAAGAAACTCTTGTAATATAAATGCTCCTCTTACATTCGAAGTGCTTAAATCCGTAACTTATTGTCGTACTTTAGATTCAGCGTTCACGGAACGTGTGCTTGGCTCGCCAGCTGAAAACTACAAAAGCTACGTGGAGGCTGACCTCACTCAGAGAGCGAGACTAGTGCCAAGCCACAGTTTATTTCTACTGCATGGCATGGCTGACCTCACAGCACCTTATACACACGGTGTAGCCTTTGCTAAATCTCTTACAGAGTCCGGCGTCATATTTAGATATCAGGTATTAATATTATCAGTTACTAATATTCTCTAAGTTTATATTGTCTTTACATGTGCTAACAAGGGGCCATACATCAAAAACACGAGTAAGAACATTCTTAGTACGTAAAATATTATTATTCACATTATTTTTGTATTTGTATCATATTTTATATAATCATAGTGTATATTGGAGTCAAAATTAATACAGTTATTATTGAAAATAATATTTTGAATGAATAATATTATTATCGTTATTATTATTATTATTATTGTTGTTGTTTTTTCTTTTTGTCTTCAAAAGTCATGACTGGTATCAAGTTTAACTAGTTCCTTATCTATAATTGGAATAACTGAGATTTTGCCAATTAATATATTTTGTTTATCAATGCTATAAATATGGATTTAGCATTTGTTATGATGATAATATTCTATTAAAAATCTTAGGTTTAAATTATTCGCTAAACTATTGATTGAAATTTGACTTTTATCAATGCTATTATCAAAATAAATATTCATAAACTGACAAAGTAAAGTGCTAATGTACCTTGAAAATCGTATACAGAGCTACGCGGATGAAGATCACGCTCTTACTGGTGTGCTAGAGCACGCCTATCGTTCCATGGAGGGCTTCCTCGCAGAGTGCCTCGCCCTGGACCCCTCCTAGTGCCTGAGACCGACTATCTTCCTCATTGCCAGCCAACTTACCAAGGTGGCCAGCAAAATTGTAGCTCACAGTAGGCTGAGCAATACCCATAACCTAGCCGGAATACTATCAAAAGCCTCTGATCATCATATTCTGACACTAAAAGATGAAATCAACTTTCCATCTTCCTTTTTCCTTCTTTATATCTATCTTCTTTATCTATATTCCTATCTCTGTCGCTTTCTCGAAATCTACAATACACACAAGCACTTTTTCTCTATATCTTTCTCTCCCACGACTTCGTGCACGTTGCGTTTCTCTATCATTCTCACTCTCACTATGGCCATGCAATTCACATATACAAGTCAATTTTTGTAATTTGAGTTAAGTGTAATTTTTTAGTACTCCGGTTAAAGATTATAAAACACAAACAATATGACATTAAGGTAGATGACTCAATTACAGAAATATAATTAATGATAATTATTTTTTATTTTTTATTTTTTATATATGGTAACAATTATTTTAATATGTCAACGTTACAAACAAATAAATTTCCATATATATACGATTTTCTGATTAAATTAACAAAATTTACCTAATATTAATAATTATTGAAAATTATAGATTATTGAAATATTTGATGATTGATCTGCTACGGTTAACGTTTAATAAATTTTTAGGAATTAGCTTACAATTAGAAATTAAATGTATAATAATTGTCTCAAAAACACAGTTCATTAATAATTTAATTATAAAATGTTCATTTAAGAATTAATAACTAAGAAAAAATTATGGTATGACAGATTATATTTTTTACTATATGTTTTAACAATTTAATCGTTAAAAAATTTATCTAATAATGTCGAAAGATGTCAATTCAGGCGAGAATGAAGTATTGTAAGAATGTATAAAACCAATTATATTGAAAATATACAAATATGTAACACTTCTTTCGCACACCTCCAAACTTCTTCCATCATAGTAAAGATAAATTCATTGCTATTTTGTAATGACAAAAATAAGATCATTAAAAAGAAAGTATAGACAAAATCTACGACAGAACGTGTGTACGTAATGTGCTCCAATATGTATATGGTTTTAATTGAAATGCAAAATAGTGAGAGTAAGAATAACATAGATATTAAATTCAACAATATTCAATTGCGTTTACTTAACAACAGTATACTCCAATGGTTCAATTATTTCTTTAAAACATTCATACAATTAATTACTAATAGATAATAGCAGAATTTAGTTATAATAAACATGTAAGTGAAAAATATCTACGAACTACTGTAAAAAATATAGATTTAATGCCTTCGTTTCTACTAGAGATGTATATATGCACGTTGATAATTTATAATATGAATTATATAATATATAAACATAATCTTTATTTTATGTTATTTTAAATAATTAAATAAATTATTTAAAAACCTTCCGAGAATTCTTTGAATGGGATTATGTATTCAACAGCTTGATAAAGCTGATGATCAATGATATAAAATAAAATGATCTAAGAAAAAATGAATTACATCTGTATAAATCTGATTAAAGCAGAAAGCGTATTAGATCATTAATTTAAATAATAAAAAATGTGTCATTATCGAAATAAGAGTAAGGTTCATGAATATACAATTAATCTAATTATGAAGTAATTCATTATTGATTTAAAATAATCATTTACGATAAATAAAAGTAGATAGTAAATAAGATATAGCTTCATAAGAATGAAGAAGTCTATAAAAAGGTTTAATTTATTTTGCGTAAATATACTGTAAACAAAATAAAATAATGATTATAAATAATATTGAATAAAAATCCATCAGGTTACTACATATATGATATGAATAACTTAAAGCATTATCAGATTTAAGATATAATTCAATTTTTCCTGGATAAAAAAGCGAGTTCTGTCACTCTGTGAGTGCCTAAGAAGAAAGATAAATGAAATGTGTTAAAAAAGCGAATGATTTTTTGTATTTAAATTGTTTACATGCCTATTTTGTCTTTTGCACTCTTTTCCTCTATCGATCATATATATATATATATATATATATATATATATATATTCTTTTGAAATCATTCATTCATTTATTCTCTCTCTCTCTCTTTCTTTCTTTCTCTCTATCTCTCTTTTTTTGGTAAGCATCTGTACACCTACATACATTCGATTAGCATGTAACATCCGAAATATTTCTACACGCTGTTACTCAGCATCGTTATGACAAAAAAATCAGCGATACAATCAAATTGAAAACGAACTGTCGATATTTATCAATTCCTCGTTTTTTCGAACTCTATATAGAATATATATATAATTTTTTGTCATCACGTTAAGCTTTTCACGTCTAATTGTATATTACAGGAGAAATAAATGATTATCAAATGAAAATCTATGTAAAATATAAGAATAATATTCGTATAGAGGAGCAAGTTATCCACTTTCGGCCTCATTATAATACACATACACACGAACTTAAACAAACACTTTGAAAAATATTTGTAAATAATTGTTCTACGTGCATCATTATTGTTATTCTTACTTAACATTATTATTATTACCGAAAATATTGAAATCTATCATCATTACTTTGATTAGTATAGTTGTTACTGTTATTGTTATACTGTCATCGTCATATCGTCATTACATCTGTGTTCTCGTCAATTCCTCGATAACAATCGCCCATTTTATTCTCACCAAAAGTGCTTATTCATGTTTAAAAAAACAAAAAACAAAAATAAGATTAAATTTCGAGGTCTATACAATTTTATATTGCTTGCAAACTCATTTAATTATGACTTTGCAACATAAAATAGTATACAACTACTTTAACTTAATATTGGATCATTAATAATACTATTTTGCTAAGATATGCAGCATTTATTTGCCAAATTAGGCAAAATAACAGCAAAAAAATATATAAATAATATTAACTGTCGAGACTTAATAATTTATTTTTAAAGTCGAAATAAAAATTACAGTTAATATAAATATATTATTATAATATTATTCTTAACTTTTTTTTCAAACTCCTCTAATAAAGCTATTGTAATAATATTATTTCTGAATTATAAAGATTTTCAATCTTTGAGCTTAAGCGTATAGTAAATACCTCACATACCATTCTTATTTAGCGATAATAAAAAACATTACTATTTAATAATCTTAATCATAGAAAAACTATTATTAAGATCAGAACAATGAAATATATTATTTAATAATTATTTCATTTTTAAGCCTTATATAAAATAAAGCCACGGGAATATTTACGTTAGTAAACAGCGAGACTTTTAATGGATTGTGTACAAATTTTATAATTCGCATACGGCCATTGTAAAGAGGATGCCATTGTGAAAAATGATCGGGGGACGTTTCGAGATCGACGAGAACACAATCGCGCTCGACGAATAACGCACGCTGCAATTATACGCTGTGTGCCAGCCCTTATATGCCGACAATCAAGGCTAGTGCAAGTAATCAAACAATAAATAAAAAGAAAAAACTACCGATAATTTAATATTATTATCATTATTATCTTTCTTACCACTTGTGTACGATCATCTTATATACTGTTGGAAGACGATATATAATGAGCGTTAAGGGAAATGGCAATTAATGCTCAATAGGAAAATAAAAATTGAAGTAAAATAAATAAGTAAAGGACATTTTTCCTTCTTATGGGCCTATGATAATCGCTGAAATATTGTAGTCGAAGAAGGGTCTATTGAATCGAGTTGTTTTCTTTTCTTTAATTTAAATAAAATATCTTTTCTGAACTTCATGTACAGCCGTAGCATGACAAAGATGTTATTTTATAAAAAAGAAATTATTCAAATAATGTATTCAAACTGTTATTTATAATATTGTATAAGCTAATAAAGACGTATGGAAGTATAGTCGATGTAATGTTAGCTAATGCCTAAGACAAATCGGTGCTGTTGTTGTTAACTATAATAAATCAGGTAATTAATTAAAAAAAAAAAACAAAAAAACAAAAAAACAAAAAAAAAATCCTGATCGTTCATGTATATGTAAGAAAAATTGATGATATAACGTATATTAATTTATTGGATATTTGTATGCATTGAAATAAATAGGAAAAATAGAAATAAAATAAGGAAAGATAAAAAAAACAGTTATTTGATATGTGTCACGTAATAGTGAGTTTTCCTCGTTAAGGTCTCGATTCAATTAATTTTTCTTCGCAAGTACATTTTCAGATATTTTGTGAACCGAAATTAAAGAGTAAATAAATGAGTCAAACAAAACAAAAAAAAAAATTAAAAAAAAATTAAAAAAAAATTGCAAATACAAAAGTATCTATAATAAAAAAGCTTTTGTTTCTATTATTAAATGCAATAATTCATAGAAAATACTTTTTCAATACTTAAATATAAAAAGTTTTTTTTTTTGTATTTCTAACGGTGTTAGATATTAGTGGATAGTATTTGCAAATGAAAAATTTTCAATAATCGGTAAATAATCGGTTTTACACTTAACGCATTTAAAAATTTGTATAAATACAAAAAATTGAGAAAGTTAATACGTATAATATTCCTTCTTGGAATTTTATCAGATAATAATTATTCTAGCAGGGAAGTTTTCAATAAATACTGCGGAAATTATAAAAAGTTGGGTACGAGAAGTAAATATAAACTCTAGCATAGACAAAGGTCACTCCAACGTTTCATAATTCACCATCATGTTCCTTATGCTTCGATGATAAATTAAACAATTAAAAAACTCCGAGCTTGTACGCGATTATTATGGCATATAATATTAAAATAGTTAAATCGAAGGAAGATATAAGGATGAGATATTAAATTTCTAGTTATTCGGGGCGAACCCGCGGTATTTTTCCTATTTAAAAGAAAAAGTGCGAAAATAAGTTTCACAGCATGTGACTTCATTTGAACAATTTTCAATTATCCTGACTTTTTCGCGGAAAATCCGCCTTGTTCCTGCCGAAGGCTGAATACTGAATAAATTTAGTCACGCTTTTTCAATAATCATAAGAAAACGAGTAGTGACGAATTTGTGCAGCGATCAATTATTAGTGTGAAATGCACAAATTTAGACATTTTAGTAAAATCATGATAGGTTTCTAAGTAGGTGTGAGTTTAGAGTTTGTGGCTCTCTAAGAGATTTCTACAAAACTTCATTGTGTAATCTGTAATACTTAACAAGTATTTTGTTAGTGGATATTTAATTTAAAATATTATATTTTCTATTCGACTTTAGGATTTTTATACTAGAAATAACTATAAATTAAATATTTTTTATATTTTAAGATAATAATGTAAAAAAAGATATTAATTTTCAATAAAATTAATATTTTTTATGCTTAAAACTACTAATTAGTTTAATTAGTTTATTTAAAAAAAAAAGAAAAAAGAAATAAGAAAAAAGAAAGAAATTACTCATTTGTATGAGCATTTTATTCCTCTCCAATGATCGCTATTTCAATTACAATTATTCCTCGATACTTGATAATTTTAATAAAAAATATGTTGCAAGCCACAAATAAGTAAATTATCAGTAATTGCAAATCGATATCGCGAACAATTTTTTTTTGACAGTACATTATTGTTACGATATCTTACATATATCATAAATATTATAGAAAACAAAAAATTTTTCAACTACAATTATGATAGAATAATTTAATAGAAACTATAATGACATGCAATGAAAATGTGAGAAATCTTTTCGATAGCAACGTTTAGTATTAACCTCTAGCTTTAATAAAATAATTAATGGCCGCTTACTTAGTTGAAAAAAGACATCGGCGAAAGCGCGAAATTCAATCAAAATTGTTTAAAAAATCTCAAATTTTCTACTATTAAAAGTCGCATTTTCTTTTATAAAAAAAAAAAAAAAAAAAAAAAAAAAAAAAACAAGAATAAGGCGAAGGAGATAAATGATACTCTCATCTATCGTTATAAGAAAGTTCTAAAATTTGAATTATCTAAACCAAGCACGAGAACTTTTTACCCGCGCAGATACTCGCTGGCGGCGCTGAATTATTATGGCGAACATGAAAAATCTAATAATAACATGGCATTAATTCTGTAGACATTAAAAAAAAGAAATTTCATACGAATTTTATAGACTTTTGCTTCAACTAGGATTAACTTAATTTGAGACATACAAGCCAAAAGATATTGTAATAAACATTTTACAAAAGGACGAATAATGAAATTGGAAAAATTATATACGTCAATTAAAATGAGCAAAGCCGAATATGAAAATCTATGAATTATAAAAAGTATTATGTGGATTAAAAAAAAAAAAAACAAGAAGTTTCAGCGCCGTCGGGCTCGCGATTAGCACCAGCTACCTACCACCTTCGTAACATTTCCAAGATTGTCACATGTTACAAAGACACTGCGTTTTTTAATATCAGCGAGACGAGATTCGGCCCGGGTATGTCGGGCGAATGATATGTTTTGAATAAACTGTTACATTATCTGAATACTAGTTGTTTTCATTTGACTATCTATTTCTATAAATATTTTCACATTAAATTCAGCTACCAAGTCTGTATTTTATTAATCATACATCAATGTATTGATAAAATAATCAATCCATCATATTGAATTATGAATTTATTTTTTTTATAATTTCCTTAAAGACTGAATTGAAATTGAAACTTCTGATCTAATAAAATATGATATTTTAGAAATACCCTAGTATTTATTTACTTTTAATTATATTGAAAGTAATTTTTTATATTTAATAATGCAATAATGATATCTATTGAAAAAACAGAATGGAAAAAATGATTATTATTATTATTGATTATAAAAAAAACTTTTGTTTATATAGTAATCTACAAACTAGCATGACATTTGAATGAGGTTATGCGAAGCATATTTTATTTTTATAAATCAATGTTTTAGTTCAAATGGACGTTTGCTCATTCATTAAAGAAATAACAAATTTTCTGTGAAACATGTTCTAAATATTAAGTAAATAAAAATATTAAGTAATATTAAATATGAAGAAAATACGTAATATAAATAATGAACAACCACGAAGAATTTCAAAAAGAAAAAGAAGATTATGTTGTGTTGACAGTCTTCTGAAAAGAAATTCGGCTCAACGAAATATGATCACGAAGATTAACAAAAGGTTAATATTATTTTCTCAATTATTCATATATAAATATTTTCATTTATTTTTATAACATATTTAATCTATAATTATATATTATTGTATATATTTTATTTTGCGACTATTGAAGAAAGACATTAATTAAACTAATACTAATATAATATTGTAATTATAAACTAGAAGGTTTTATTGAATAATAAACTATACAATATATATAAAATATAAAATATATGTATATATATTTGTGTGCATATGTATACTATGCTTATAAGACATTAAATATTAATAATATGTAAATGTAATTAAAATATCATTCTATATTTTTTATTATTAAAAAAGTAAATTATTTTTATTTTATATTTTCAAAATCAACGTACACGTATTCACTTACTTCAAATCTAAATAACTATTAATAATATCGAATATATGTTTAAAAATTCTATCAGACCATATCAAAGAAGACATCGATCTTGTGAACCTAATATAAAATTAAAGAAAAATACATCTTTACCGAAATTTCGAAGAAAAACAAGACCGTGCTCTGCATCTAGTCTTAAAAGCGTTATTTACATAGGTAGATATAGAAAAATTCCAAAACTTATTGTTCTTGATGACTATAGCGATGAGGAAAAATCAAATATGTATAAAAAAAAACCTAGCAAAAACCAAACAACTTCAAATGATAGACCAATAAATACGTGAGTTAACTTATAAATTGTTCATTTTCGAATAAAATTTTAATAAACTTATAACTACTATTATTTTATAGTTTGCACAATGAAAATGATCTTCTCAGTATGCTTAATGAAATGCACATCAATACTGCTGTAACCAACACCGTATTCGATTGACTCGATGCATACAAGATCAAGAGTTAAATATGATATTTTATAATTACATCTAACATTTCTAATTTTGTATTATATTTATTGAGTATATGTAATAAAAATTGTTTACAAATTATAATCTTTATACAATAAAACTTTTTAAAATATATAAAAACCTTTATAAATTAAATTATTTTTGGAATAATTACATTATTCCAAAAATAATTTAAAATATGAATTTCAAGAATGTAAATATAGGTTTAAAAAATTGAACAAGCATGACAGATAATAAGTAATGAATTAGACTCGATATTATAATGAAGAGTAATGATTGATTAATAGTAAAAACACAGAATAGTCTAAAAATATTCCTTTTTACGAATTTTGGATGGGATAAAAAATTTTGTTAGAAAGTGCTTGCGTGGCTTATTAATTGATTCAATTTCAGCTTTCCCTAATTTCATTGCCATCAAGTGTTTTGTAAAATCAACGTCAATGTAACTGCGATATTTTAAATCCTCGATCTTTTTGAAATCTCTTTTTGTCAACTTTACTTTAAGTATACCTAATTTTTTTAAGTCAAAATGGTGAATTCCTAGCCAACGCATCTGTGGGCAGAGCAGTTGTTCGCGATATCCTAAATTGTTTGATGTTCCAAACCTAGGGAAATATATTCTATTTTATAGACACTTTTAAAAATGTAAAACAATACATTATATTGAGAACATTAATAATTTTGATTTTTCGATAAATTTTACGTTTTAGATTCGAATGTACGATTACAAATATTGCATAGTGATTGTTTCATTGAGAAATGGAAATAACTAAATTTCCAACAAACGAATTTATGAATTTCATTAAATCAAGACAATAATTACTCGGATTTACAATCAATAATTTTTCATAGTCAACTTATAGTCAACCTATAATTTTTCTGTTTGTAGTTTTCATTTACGATAATTAAATTGGCAATTTTAAATATTAATAATATTTTTAATAGCTAAGAAAAAAATGATCTACTTTTATCGGGTTAAACTAAATCACTTATAATGTTTGCATTGAATCTATCTGAAAAATATGTGATGAATAAATTAACAATTATAAAAAGCAACTTTATTCGTAATAACTCACCGATAAACACACATAATTTCAAAACCATGGGGATTAGCGTCAACGAGTGCATAGATCGGTAATTGTACTTTCTCCGACAGCATTCGCACGAACATCCTTGTAGGAATATCGGGGTAACCCTTTCCAGTCACTAAGATACAATTATTGAAAGACGGACACTCTTCGCGTAATAGCTTCTGAAATACCGAATCTTTCTCAACAACGAGTACATACGCGGCGCATGTTCGAACCTGAGTGACATTGGCAATGACGTCTGGCACTGCATGATAGTTCCTTTGTTCGTAATGTATAACTTTTTCTTCGCCAAAATACACACTGAGGTCACCAGCTACTAAGCCCTTGCTCGTCGAAATGAAACCTTAAATAATACATACTCGTAAACTTCGATGAATTTAAGGATTTTTTAAATATTTAAACTTAATTGTTAAAAAAAAAAAAAAAAAACAAGAGACGAATTTTATAGGAATATAACTGAAATTCATGACTACAAGTTATAATCTTGGGAATGAAGATTTTATTTTATAGTAAATAGAAAAAGAAAATTTACCAAGCTCCCATGGACCGCATTCAAGCAACATTGATATTTCGTTTATGGCCCAGTCAACCTTTCCTTGCTTAACAACAAAACGTTTAATAAATTCATTCTTCAAACTATAAAAAAAGGCCCTTTTCGTACAATAAAAGTCATCATCGACATTATTCAGGTTCTGAAGGAGATTATAATGCACATAAGACATTAATCTCATGATCAAAGCAAATGTCTTTCGATTCTGATAACCAGAGAATCGAAGCGTTTTCACACGTACGTTAAAACCATTGATTGAATCACTTTCCGAACTGTTACTGTTGAACCATCCCGAATTTTTCCCATCATTGTATATCAAACTTGGTTTTTCATTATAGACAATACTCCGAATCAAATCATAAACAATATCCTCGATGCGTTTTATGAGAAAATGCCTAATAAATACATTGTTTTCGTAAATATACATTTATGGTTTGTCTTATAGACAGTAATTTTAATTATTACTTCAAATTACGTATTAAAAATTTCAATGAGCTTGGATCAAATTCATAAATATGATAATTTGTATGATTATATTAATGGATTTTATATAGAGCATACAGATGAAAATTATAATGAACGTATATTATTCTTAAAAGCAATTCTTTAACTAAATAATTATTTCTTCAATTTTAAACATAATAATATGTTAATATTTGCATAGAAAAAGTTAATGAAATGAATAGCAAAATATTTTTAGCAGTTGTAACTGATATTATTGACTTATTATGGATAAAATTAATTACAAATCGTATTAATTGATTTATAAAAATATATATATATATATATATATATAAAATAAATGAATGTCACAGCATATTTGCAATTAGCTATTTAAAACAATTAAGAAGGAAATTAATAATAACAATATTAATGAAGAATTTTTTTTCTTCGATTAATCTACAATGAGAAATGAGAATTTAACAAAATATTAAATTGAAAATTTAATTATTACCAAACTTCATTTCTAACTAATAATTAAAAGAATATGAGACATATTTTTTCATAGGATTTTTTAATGTGTCGCACTTATAAATTTCAAAGATTCGACTTACCTACGATTTACTATTGCATTTGGTGAAATGTCGAAGACACTCTTGATTACTTCTTTCGATTCCATCGCTTTTACAATTCATTTGCGAAAATCAATCTTTAACGAACTTTTTCAAAGCATTCCACCCAATGAATCGGCTAAGCAAATTTTATCGTTAGTTTGATCGATGATTGTAAGATGTCGCCACAATGCACAATAGAAATGCCACAGCATCTGCATTAACCGACTGGCATTCGTATTGTATTACCGGCAAATATGAAATTCAAAAATGAAGCATTTATTATTTACAAAATGCCATCTTGTCATCTTCAATTAATAATTTTACTCTTTCGATAATGTATGGAGTAAAAAAAAAAAAAAAAAATTACATCAATAAGAAGGTATGAATTTGTTAAGATATGTGGTGAAAGCCTTAAATATGAATTTATAAAGAAAGTAGTAAAGTTGAACATAGAATTTGGCGCGGAAAATGTTTTTGAGAGTTTACTGCGTGTTATTATAAGTATGTATAGGGAATATACGAGGATCTTGAGAACATTTACGTGAGTATTTACGACCTTAAAGAATGAAAGTATGCTGTTGACGATCGTTTCGCGGTTCATCGTTTTACTGCTCTCTCCTACCTCTCCATTTCTTCTCTTATTCCTTTTTCTTCTTATTCATACCCCTTCGGACAGTATTTGTCTTCCTGAGGAACGTCTAACACGTAAATAAAATCTCTTCAATTTATGAGAGAGATTTACGTATAAATCCCTTTATACTGTTTGAATAAAAGCCTTAAACTGTATTTCAATCATTTTTAATAAAATCTGTAATTATAAAATTATTGGTAAAAATGAGTTGTATGAATTAAAATTAGTAGTATATTACCAGTAAATATATCTTCCAATTCTCATTACTATATAAAAGGTGTGTAAATTGAGGGGGGGGGGGGAATTCAGTAATAATAGTGTAGAGGTTTAGATAATTTGTAAAATACCAATATAAAAAGTATTTCTGTAATATATTTTTATAACATAATATTGAATATTTAGTAAAATAGCCAAAATTAATATTAGAATTAAATAGACAGAATTATATATATATATATATATATATATATGTAAATTTATATTTTATAAGGATAATAAATTTATGTATTATAAAGCATTAATTATTACATGTACCACTGACAAACATCTATATAATTTTATTAAAAATTATATTTAAATTGAAAATTTATTACATTTATTACATACACGCACAGCGCCACTTATTACATACAATATTTTCCAAATTATTCATTAATATGATGATATATGATATAAAAGATTCAAGCAATAATATAAGGAATAATAAATCGTTTTGTTAGAAAAACTGAATGAAAAGCGATTCTTGTTACTATAAGCTGCTTATTTGTCTTGAGCAACGTGCCCTATAAAGTACTTTCTAATTTTATTGTGTTATTAATTGAATTATATTTGACTAGTTTTTAAAAATATAATCCAAAGCAAATTGTAAGTCAAGGTACAATGTTTGTAATTTCTTGTAACATTGCTACATACCTTCAATTTGACCACACGAAACAGTAGGAAAGCTAAATCTATGGGTAAATTCAAATACACTTATACAGTCAACAAAAATGAGTAAGTACATGTATATTTGGGAACCCATGGGAGAACCAAACAGGCCAGACACAATAGCAAAATTCAAGTATCTTTAGGCGACGAACAGTAGCAGAGGAGAGTAGCTCCATTCGGTACGTAAAGAGATTACAAATGCACAGCGGGGTGCTGCCTCTCTCTCTCTCTCTCTCTCTCTCTCTCTCTCTCACACACACACACACACACACACTCACTCACTCACTCATTCACTCACTCGCTCGCTCGCTCACTCTCGCACGCGCGCGAGAATGTGTTACAGGTCTCGTGAAAGTCCGTTTCGGTATCGTATCGTGTGTTTATTGCTGTGAGAAATGCCACGCACGGATAGGCGCAATTGATGCCTATCTCGTCCTTTTTACGTTATTTTTCCTTCTGTTCCTACTTTTTTCCTTCGCCTGTGTACCCGATGTGACTCTCGAATAGCAGCTAGTAACGATATATGTGCACCGCGGGATTTTTGATTTTCCTTTTATTTTGACATTGATAAGATGGCTAAGAGAGGTACGTTATACATCAACATAAATGGCGGCCCACTGAATGAAAAGCTTTTACTGGTTTTGATGACAACTTTTCTTGTATTATTGACTCCCAATGTCTCTCGATATATAAATAATATTCAAAAATTACTTTAAGTATACCGCGCATGCGATGGAAATTTATTTCTCAGACATTGAAGACATTAAAAACATAAATTTGTTTGTTAACTCAGTTGAATCGATAGCTTATATTCGCTTCAAAATTCTTATTTAGAAATTTATCAAACTATGTAAAACAATTCAAAATATATAAAACAAATGTATAAAACTAAAATGCCTATAAAGAAGTTCGATGAAGGTAGTCCAGTAATTAAATATTACTTAATAGAATTTTCAAAAACACTTCCTTTTGAAAATAATGAATAAAAAGTATTGTGTTGCGAATAAAGTACTTATGCTATATTATTTACTATATTATATAATATATAAATATATTAAATAATAATAATAACTAATTTATTACTCTGCATTAATAAATAAAAAAATTAATTATATTTAATAACAAACAATATAAAATTTTTTTATAAAATACTTTGCATCTAAGTTTTTTTTTTTTAAAAAAGCTTAAAATGTGTAATAGTGAGTAGTGTATGCAACATTCATTTGTATATATCAATATATAATACTTACATAAATACATTAGTTGTTTGATTTTTTTTTGTTTTTTTTTTTTTTGTTTTTGTTACATATCGATGCAGTAAATTATTTTAATTATCGACATTTCCCTATTTTTATAATGTTTTTTACTAATTGACTGTTGTTCTGAGACGCGCGTGAAATTCGTACTGCATAAGAGAAAAAGAACCTTCGCGACTCGTTATCAGATATCAAGATTGAAAATGCAATAAAAAAAATTACTCTCTATTCTGTGTGCAATATGAATTTTCTACTGAAAAGCTGAAAAATCAAATGCTAGTCGGCTGATGGTAGTAAGTATTTTTTATCAACTATTGTATGGTATATATGATGGTGGTCTTCGTAGTACAAAGCTAAGCGTATTAAATGAAAGTAATCTAGTAACACTACTCGAAGCAGATGACATTTACATCTGCGATCAAACTAAACATATAAAAACATGGTGGGCAATAAATACAAATACAAATACAAATTTCATCCATAAATATTATATCGAATTGAATGAAAGACAGAACATTAGCGAGACTTTTGGGGTGGGCGCGTGCCAAAATATTTAGGGGACTTGAGTATAAATACGGACGAGTGTTTCCACGGTTAAATAATAGATGACACGTGCTTTGACACCGGTAAATTATATCCATTTAAGTACAAGTATGGACATCGCAAGCGAAAATATGTTACAATGCGGTTATTTAGTTTACTTCATTTTACCTAACTTATTACCATATTTCATAAACGACATAAATAGAGCTTAAATGGAAATAAATATGAAAAACAAAAAATTCATTATTACCGATGCACGTATCGTATTATACATAAACGAGTAAGTAATTAATGTAGTGATATTTGCATTATACGTAATACCATAATTGATGTTGAAACATATAAAACTAACGTATAATGTTGGAAGTTTTTATTCCAACAAATTAAGAATAAATTAATACAAAAAAAAAAAAAAAAAAAAATATTAAAATACTTAAGCTACGATTGATAATTTGCACATTTTCAAAAATGCAAAGTCATCGTTGCAAAGTATTTATTTCTGAATTCAAAATCAATCAAAGATAATCAAAATCAGAATAAAAAATATACGTGAATCAAAGTTTGCAAAATAACATGAAAAATATCTTCTATTATGGACTGCATCAATGCCAATCGTATATAAATTTAATTCTTTTTGAACTTTGAGCCGATAATATTAAAGGTATATATATTCATTAACTATACGAAACTTATTAATCTTGATTAAAAATGTCCATGATATTTTAATTGTAAAAATCATGAAATTGAAAAATAAAAATAAAACCTCAACCAATGTCAATGATATATCGTAAAGGAAATTTTATAAATCATTCGTATAAAATACTAATCAA